TAAATAAGGCAATGACCATTTTAGCCATAAAAATTCAATATTGAAAAAGACATTTTTGTCCCATTCAAGTGTTGGCAACTTTCCCCCCAAGTGAGAAAGTTATTTATCCACCTAGGAGAAGGGTATYACTTACCCGGGAAAATAAACTTTCCTTATTCTCCACATAAATCTGAAAAAAGAACATGTGTTTTTTGGTCAATGAGAATCAAAATTTCATTGACTAACTTTCCTCCCTCTAAAAATCCAGAAAAAGAATGCCCCCTCAATTTAATTCTGACCAGGTGCAACAGTGGAGGAAACCACGTATTGATGGAGTTAAACTAAATATTGACAAGAGTTGTGGGCAACACCAATACAGGCGGTGGCTTTCTTGTTAGAAACCATGTTGGAGCACTTATATTTGCTCGAGCCATTCTAGTTAATTCAATGACATCTTTGGAAGCAGAAGCAATTGCCATGTGGGAGGGCTTGAAATTCATAATTGATATGGGCTTTTCTAGTATATACATCAAAAGTGACTCAGAAGTAATTTGTTCTCTTGAGGAGCTTCAACAGCCTCCTGGTGTATTCATACACAAACCTGTAATTGCAGAAGTATCGTTGCCTGCCTTCCATCTGACATTATTACTCGTATTAGGAGAGAAGCGAATAAAACCGCTCACAGTTTAGCTAAATTTGCCTTTATCTTATRATCATATAATCATACTCAGATGTGGTATTGTATTCTCTCTTTTCTACATCATGTAATTGAAAGTGAGACGATTGATGAATGAATTTAGTATTCGGATTTTTATTGTTAAGTCTATTCTCAGAAATCTTAGTTCTACYGTACAGTTTGGGTAGGTGCCAGTTTGGAATTGATGTCAATTCAAGGTTTTTGTATTTTGAATTCGGATTTCCTTACAAAATTCATCAGCCCTTGCAAGCGCACATATCAGTACTTATCAGGGCGGAGCCAATTATATTGGTGGGTCTCCTGATCCTCTCCCAAACTTTTTGTTAAAATCATTATGTATATTGGTAACAAAGTGGATGCAGGGTAAAAAATGTAATAAAGTGGGTCTTTTTCCTCATTCGGCCACCCTCATCCCAACACTTTAACTAAGATGTAAAGGATTGCTCTTTGATGCTTTTCCAATCCTCAAAATAAAAAAAAAAAAAAAATCTTTTAAAAAAATATGTAATAGATCCAAACTTTTTTAGACTATTTTTCTTTAAACCTTACCTCATTTACTYCTTGTCTCATTTTCTTGTTTAACTTGGCCCCTTCAGTGATACTTATATGTTTTAATTGATTGAAAGATGTTTTCTAGAGAACAGCTTAAAAGGGTTGTGAAGTGGGTGTAAGGATGAATTTTGTGAGGAATTTAAAATTTTCATGAACCGATTAAGCAGTGGGTTCTAATGCTTATTTTTGCTTTGAGCATCAATTATTTCAATCAGGGGCAAAAAAAAAACGAGTCACAAGAGCAACATGAGAGCATAGATAAGTGGCCGGCAACTAGCCAYTAACTGCATAGCTACTTGCCCACTTGCATTGACACTGCATGATTGCCTAACAAATAAAAAAAAAAAATGAAAGATTCCACTATTATGGAGAGAGAAAGGACACTAAGGTGGTCAGTCTTGAGGACCGGAGAGGGACTTCTTCCACCGATTGACTCAAGCCAATACAAATAGATGAAAATAGGAGAGTAATCGAAGGAGGGCTCTGATTGCTCTAATGCTCTATAAAGATCAAGGTTTTTAAGATGAAAATCGGAGTCAGGGGTCTGGTTCTTGGGTCAGGGGTCTGACTGTTCCAATTGAAGAACGGCCTATTTGACAAAAAAATTTAGGGTAAAATATAAAAACCTCTCCTAAAGTTTATGACAATCATAAAAATCTCCCCTTTTAATAAATACCTCTCTTAAAGTTTATGACAATCRTAAAACTCGTTCCTTTTAACAAATACCTCCCCTGAAYTTTTGAGAAATTTGACAAAAACCTCCATTCAGTCACTTTCTTAGACAGAAAACGTTAGATTGATGCACTAAATTCTTCTGAATACCCATTCTACCCTTTATAAATTATTTTATATACAAAATTACTGAAATAACCCCATTTTTTACTTGATAAAAATCTCCTTTTAACAATTATCTTCTAATGTTTTCTATCGAATTAAAACATGGTTACTCGGTGATTTTGTATGTAAAATAATTTATAAAAGGGTAGAATGGGTATTTGGAAGAAACCACTACATCAGTCTAACGTTTTCCGTCTGRGAAGGTGACGGAAGAGAGGTTTTTGTCGAGTTAGTATTTGTTAAAATGAAACTAGAGGGGAGATTTTTATGATTGTTAGAAACTTCAGGGGAGGTTTTTATATTTTACCCAGAAAATAAAAAAACGACAAAATTGTTGGACAGTTTGAACGGTTTTGAATAATTTGACAGCCTAGATCTGCAATTTGCTAACCAAATTAACGGTTTTTTTAATAAAATAACAGTTCTAGGATAAAACGAAACTGATCACCTAACTGATTTCCGATTTTTCCAGTCTAACCATCCATTCCAGTTTTGAAAACCATGATAAAAATTGGACATCCACTGAAAATGGGATRTCAAATTCTCTTTTTTATATGGGTTATAGCCTTATAGACTATTTCCATAGCATGTAAAAATAGTGGATAAAGATAAAATGAAAAATTGAATAAGGATTATTGTGGGTTTGTAAAAAATTGACCACGTAACGTTAAGGATATTTATTTTATGATAAGAACTCCCTAATAAACTTCGACGAATACCAGATGATTGGTTAATTATCGCATGCTTTTATAATATGGGTTGAAGTTGATTGGTTAACGGTTTTTTAGAATAGCCTTGTTGGTATCACATAGTTGAATTTTTTATTGYAATTAGCAATATGTATGTTCTTTGCATCTAACAATTTTAATATATTTTCAATTTTTTTTTACGAATTCTTTTTTATATTTTTGTGTATAAAAATAARTGTTATTTATCACACTTGTTTTGTTTAATGCAATGAAATATGATATTAGAGATGTGTCTAATTGCTTTTTGTATTTTATTTAATTATGACATAAAGGGTTGATACATTTGATTCAAAAGGTTGAACTGTTGACCTGCCATCAAATAGGAAAACAAATTCATTTTTGACTTGGTTTTAAATTTTGTATTTTATTTCCATCATCAAAAGAAATAGTTATTCTTTATTTATACTTATTTTTATATGATTAATATAAAATTCTAATATATTTGTATATATGTTTTGGTTTTTAAATATATATTTCCAGAAAATATATTCTAAAATATTATATATAATATTTGCACTTTTGAGTTCATGTGCATTGTGCAAGCTTGGGGTTGGTTGAAACCCAAACCAGTCAAAACTGACTCAAACTAACCAGGTCAGGTTTATTTAATAGAGGGTCGGTTTCGACTTGATCCATAGGTAACCCGACCAGGTTGGGTCAGTTGAAAAAACACTAGTAAACCAACCCACCCCGACTCGTGAACAGTCCTATTAAACAATAATCAATATGATTAACAATTTTTAAAAAGTGAAGGCCAACTTGCT